TTATATTAAAAAAATTATTTATAATAATTTTAATTTAAATTCTAATTATACATAATATTGATTTATCTCTAAGTATTTATAATAAAGAAAAAAGTTAAGTAAAATAAATATTTTCTTGGATTAATAATATTATAATTTATTTAATGTTAATGTAATAATAAATAAATTTAGATTAAGCATATAAGATTAAAAGTTTAATTACTTATATTAAAAAGTAACAGTTATCAAGCTAGATTTAATAAATAAGTTAGTATATTAAAAATTCTAATCATTAATAGAATAAAATTCCAAAACTTATATTTAATTTACTAATAAGAATATTAAAAATTATATAATTAAAAATCTAATTAAATTTATAGGTTCAAAAAAGATCATATAAAAGTGAAGAAAATTTTTATATTCTTAATTAATTTTAAAGAAATTGTAACAATTAAAACCCATTTTATATATATGTTAAATTTTTTAAAAAAAAAACTTTATTAGTTAAAAGTATTAATTATAAATTATTTACTTTTAATACAAATAAAATTCAAATTAAATAAAGAAAATAATATTTTTATATTATTTTAATTTAACTTTATAAATATACTTTTTTATAGAATTTAGAATAAATATAATCAGACCTTTATATAATTATCTAATTGATCTTATTAAACTTATTGAAAAAAATATTAAGAATAAGATAAAAATTTATTAATGATTTATAGGTAAAATTATAATGATTTTTTATTTATTTATTTTTTATATAAAGATTAACATTATTATTTTATATATATAGTTTTATTTTATATAAATGTGCAATAACTCAAACTTATAAGTATATTTCAAAATACTAATTACAAAATAATATTTTAGTAAATTATTATAAAATGAAAAGTTTTATGATTTATTTTTATTAGTATAATATAGTATAGTATAAAAAATATAATATATAGTTTTAATAAGTAGAATATAATCAAAAAAAATGTTTAATAATAATAAAACCTTTAAAAAATTAACTGAATTAATATTATAAATAAAAGATTTAAAAATAAAAGTAAAAGAAGATTTAAGTATTTTATTACTTACTTTATTTTTTTAATTATTATTAAAAGTAGTTATAAATATTTAATTTTTAAAAATATGATTAATAAAATAAATTTTTTATTAATCAGATAATTATAATAATAATATTATTTAAATTTTATAATTTCTAAAACTAATAATATCTATAAATTTTATTTAAATACATTTATATTAAATATGTTAAGAACTTGAAATTTTTAGATAAATTTAATATTATTTATTATAACATATCATATATTCACAATTTTTATCTTAACCTGATATAATAATCAATTATATAGCTAAATTTATTATAAAATATTTTGTATTATTTGTATTAATTATTAATGTATATTAAAAATAAATTGTTTCTTTATTTATTTTAAATAAATATTATATTTATAGTTAAATATTAATAGAAAATTTGATTACTGTTTATTCAAATTCAATCAATTTTAATTTATAAAAAAAAAAAAATAGACTATTTCTTATTTATAAAAGTAATTTGTATTTTTCAATATTATATATTTTTTTTTGTTTTGTTAATTTTTCTCTAATAATAAAAATATTAATTTTTTCTTTGTTAATTAATATATACTTATATATAAAAGTTAGTTATAAGATAAATGAAACCTATTAAATAAAAAAATATAATAATCAATCTAATGTTTAAAAAAATAAATATATAATATACTTATTATACCAAATACAATTTATATTTTTATATTTTTTAATATATTTAATTTTTAATTAATTATAAAAAATTTATTTATTAATAATAAAACTTGATTAATATAATTTATTACAAATTTACATTTATTTAATAAAATATTAAATTATATTTTAAAAAATTAAGATAAAAAAATTTTTTTTAAAAAAAATTACTATTAAATTTATATTAATTTTATAAAAGAAATATTTATTCTTATATAAAAAGAAAATATTAGTAAAATTTAAAACTTATGTTATTTAAATAGAAAAAATTAATAAAAACTAAAAACTATTTCTTAAAAGAATTTTAAAAGATAAATTTATATTATTTAAAAGAAAAAATAATCTGTTATTACGAAATTAAACAAAAATAATTAGTAAAAATTAAGAGATTTTGATTTTTAAAAAAGATTAAATATATATGATTTTTAATATTAATAATAAATAAATCATACAGAGATCTACTAGGAAAATGGGGCTGTGAGTATTTTTTATTAAAATTTTAATTTTTATTGCATTTAAATCTAATATTATTAAAAATTAAAATGCAATAAAAATTAAATTCTTAATAAAAAATGCTCAAAGTTCTATTTTTATGCAAACTTACTTACTATATATAAAAAATTTATTATTGATCAAGAAAAATTATCTTTAAATGATAATTATTGATTAATAAAATCATTTTCAAATACAAAATTCATTTTTGATTAATAAAATTTGTTATTTAATATGAAATTTTACCTTTAAAAATTTAACTTAAAATTATCGTAAATAACTAACTAAGATACTCTAGATCTGATATAAATTTTCAAAATTTGGAAATATAATATTATAAAAAATACTTTGATTAGAGGAAAATACAAGAATATTTGCTAAAACTAATAAAAATATAAAATCTGATTAATTTTAAGTATTATACTTCTGAGTACAATACATTATTCAAATAAAAAATTTATAAACTTTAGTATTTATTTAGGATATAATATATTTTTTGATTTTAAAAATGTGCAGAAAATATAATAATCAATAGGTTAGCTATTTACAATAATCTTTAAATTAACAAAATTCACATTTAAATTAACAATTCATTAATGAAATTTGTTAATAATTAATATATTTTATTACTTTTTAACAAAAATCATTAAAAATATTTGTAAATTCATCATAAATCATTAATGAAATTTGTTAATAATAGATGGATTTCATTATAAATTATTAATATAAAATTCAAATAATACATCTTATCTATTTGCTAATAAATATACTTTAAATACTATTTTTTTTTTTTTTAATTATTATTAAAATGATTTTAAGTTTTATAAGTACAATGAGACCTCTCTCTCTAAATGCACACCCCCTTGGAACCATAGTGAAAATTTGAAAAATGTGCTTTTAAAGAGGGTATGTATTTAAAGAGAATTTTATATGATCTTTATATACTTGGGTGTGCATTTATAGAAAAAATATATAATGTGTGCATTTAGGAAGGATGCATTTAGAGAGGTTTCACTGTATATTATTTTCTTAATTTACAAATTATTATAAGTTTTAAGATTATATAGAAAAGTTATTATAAATTAGGTTCAAAGAATGTTGAACTAAAATTAAAGATCTTATTGCATTTTAATCTAAAAAAAATAAAAATCAACCGAATTCTCAGAATCCATTTTTTTTTTTAGCAAATTCTTATATATTATTAACAATCTTTATAAAACTCATATGATTTATGTAAAAATTACTTTTTAATTTGATCAAATAATAGTAAATAAAATATAAACTAATTATTCTTTATGATTATTAATATTAATGTTATATTAAAAAATTTGTGTCATGACTTTATTTGAACTGATTCAAAAAAAAAATTGTCTTGCTTGTAATAACAAGTTCTCCATTCCTTACTCTAAGACGATTTTGCAATCTTTGATAATTTTTTCATGGGGAGTTGCTTAATTTGCTTAGATACATTCATTCTATGCTATGCAATGCGATGAAGGATGTTGTTTCATATGCGGGAAACTTGTTTTTACGTGATAATTAGTCACAAATTTGGACTTGATGGATCATGTTATGTATGTTAATGCTTGTTTTTCAAAATACTTTCAAATTTTATTTAATTGTTACTTAGCGATAAATTCTACACGATAAAAATAAATAAAAAGGATTGATAAAGAGGAAAAGTTACGCTTTTTGTAACATGATAGTTATGTGTCGGTATTTTTTTTTTTTTTTTTTTAATTTAATAAAGTTCAAAGACCAATACAAATAATTTTTTTTTAATTGTTATTACGGAGATAAATTTGGCATGATAAATAGAAAATAGAAAGTAGATGGAAGATTTCAGCTGATTGTAACAATGATAGGTTTTCGCGCCGATAAACAAGAAATATAAAGTTCATACAAAATTATTCTTCATATGACAGATTCGATTATCAAAGTTGAAATAATATAGATTATTATGTAAATACATGAGAATAATTTAAGGATAAACAAAAGAAAGTTCTTACATTCAAATTTTTAAACATTATCGTTGTGTAAGTAGTATTTTAGATCATATAAAAAAGAATATTTGAGTCTGGACGCAAAAGATTTTGCGGTAAATTCCGAATAGGATAAAAGTTGTAATATATAAGAATCATTTAAATGGTATGGTTTAGCTCTGAACAATATATATATGCAAGACGGAATTCTTATACATCATGTTCTGGCTAGAATGGTCTTTTTTAAACTTTAAAAAAAATTAATTAACCAATTGACTTGTGCCTCATTTGATTTAACAATATAATTGTGATCTAACCAATTGATAGGTTTACTCATAAAGCATGCCGTCTGTATATAATTTTGTTCTTTCCATATTTAGATATAATGGGAGATGGTTTGAAGTTAACACATTCAGTGCGTTTCACATTCCTTTTTTTTTTTTTTTTATTCGATTCAATATTCTATAAAGTTGTATTACGCGGAGATCGTTTCCCATCATTTTATGTTCGTTCTTTTTTTTTTTTTTTAAAAAAAAAAAAAGAAATGCCAAACATAAACTTATAAATATGACCAGGAATTGACCTTCCCTATCACTTTTACCTTAATACATTACACCTGCACCTGAAATAAATAGCGCTAAAAAAAACTTTTAGAAAAAAGGAAAACTTGTAGTATATGAAATTGCTATCTGACCCATATTACTAATCACAATTAATAACCTATCTCTTCATCCAACTCAAACCTAAAATTAAAAAATACCGATTAACATGGAGCCTAGGTAGGAATTTTTTTTTCCTCGCATAAAAATTACAAACTTAAAACTTTCATCAGTTATTAACACTTTTATATTTAGCAATACTAATCGGAAGTTTCAACTTGAGATTGTCCAACAACCTATTCATGCAAGGATGAGCGGATTTGGAGAGGATAAGGTAAAATAAAATTTTCAAATTTCATATGTAAAAGACATTTAAATTTTGTTAACAATAATTTAATCATTTTCAGGGCAGAAGACCAATCTCCCCATTACCGTTTGTACGCTTACGAATCCTTGATGGAAGTAAACCAATTAATATCGATACGATTGACGCTGGTCTCTTCATCCTACAAGCTAGCTTGCACGATTCTCAAACAGGTCTCGATGTTACATCGGTGAACCTCATCGGAGAAAAATTCGCAAATGGCCAAAAGTTGGAAGATACTTCAGGAAATCTCGATATATGGTTCGTTTACAAGGATTTGAGCGTTAGGTCGGAAGGACAATTCTTTTTTGAATTTAATATGATATGCATTGGCTGGTAAAAATTCTCTCATTAAATTTACATCCTAATAAATTTTTCGTAATAACAAAAAATTTAATCAGAGATTTACTTGAATTTATATTAATTCCAGGCAGGGCAATTTAAATTTGGGTTCGATGCCTATAAACGTGCTAGAATCGGCACGTTCCAATGTATTTACAGTATTTAATCCCCGGAAGTTTCCCGGCATGATCGGTATATATAATTTTACCATTATTTTATCCTTGCTTTTTACATTTTAAATAAATAGATACAGTAATTTAATCAAATTTCTACATTTCATTTTAGATCCAACCCCATTATCCCGTTGCTTTGCATTGCAAGGAAACAAAATCCCCTCGCGTTCAAAGAATCATTGATTTGATATTTTGGGATCTAATTTAGTTTTTACTATGTATATAAAATTATAATTAATTTAATTAATACTTTTTTTTAATAAAATATATCACACGCAAATATTAATCATTTTTCAATTAATTATTCTCCTGTTATAATTATTTATTACCTGATATAACAATAAAAAATATATGATTTACTACATAAATTATTAATATGACAACTGCAAATTTGAAATGCGCAGCTAGCGAATATAATGCGCAGCTTGGATTAATAAAGAACGTGATACATGATACAAATAATTTTTTTACTACAACTAGATGAATGTCCGGAAATAGTTAAGACATATTCCGGACAGATCGAAACGTGTTTTTGCCTGTTTTTGCAGTTGTCCGGTTTTTGTTTAGAAATTTGATATTTATCTGCAACTTATTTACGTGCAAGTTTATTTAGTACAAGAAGGACTTTTTACATTTTTTGATTTATTATTTTAAGAAATATTGTCCAGAAATTTGATATACCCAGAATTTTTTTATGACCGGGATTTCTGGATAGGAAACATTCCGGACATCAATTTTTGTCTGGACAATTATTTTTTATAGGGAAATTTATAATAAAATTTTTAAGCATCAATTTATGAAATAGGCCAATAATTAGAATACAAGACCCAAAGCATGCTAAAAAATAGCTTGACAAAGTTTTTACTCCTGCATAAATGTAAGTATTACAATCTAACGGCGATGTCAAACCGTCCCTTTGTCGAGAGTATTCCTGCCATTTTTCCTTTGGAAGACAAATTAACATTGGTTGATTATTTGATTATAGCAACGTTATTCGGTTTTCCTGACATTTTCACACTTTTTTTTAGTAAATAATTCCTCGATTGCGCGAGAAACCAAACTGAGCTGTAAGCAAGAGGGCCCGCGATAATTAATTCCTCAATTACGACGCGTAATTAAAATGAGTTCGCGATAATACTTCTTATGCAAAGTATCAAACTGGATCATTTACATTCTCTGTCGTTGATTGTTTATTTTTTCCTAGCGACATGTAAACAAAATTAATTATGGTACAGGAATTTCTAGAAATTTACTTCTTTTTTTATGTTGATATCATGAACGATAAATAATAATTCCTAATTCCATGCAAATTTGGCAATTTTATGTTGGTGCATAATGCAGGATTGTCCCATAGAAAAAGACTTGACAATTCATGATACTTTAACTATTCTATTCTACAAACATAGTTTAAGCTCTATAACAGGCTCAAACCAAATATGTGTGGCACAACCCGTAAATATGGGGTGAGTGCTGGGAAAATGGACCAAATTGATTTTTTTTTTTAAAAAAGTTTCTAAGTAAAATAGATGTAGATTTGGTCATCTGATTCAGATCATTTGTTATTTCAAAAAAAACATTTTTTTGTCGATTTGGTCCCTTTTCCCAGCACTCACCACATATTGTCAGCTGAATTTACTAAAAAAAAATATTTAATGTATAGTTTAAACTGATTATGGGCTAGCGTGATACTAAATTCGTTAGATGCTGGTAGTTGGTTTTTGCAAGTTATTAATTACAATCTTAAGCAACCGAATTAAATTAAATGTTCGCTGTCATAATATAAAGTAAAGAAAAAGAAATAAGTTTTCATATTAACCAATAGGGATGCAGAATTTACTTTGTTATATATGATTGTGACGTACGTATTTTGACGTATATAAATTTATATATGATGAATTGACGTGAATTTTGAGAAAGTAAAAGTCTGCATCCTTATTAACCAACGAGAATATTCAATATAAAGAAACCATTTTTATTTGATAAATAATAAATTACAAATTGACAAAAATTGAAATTTATCCACAATTAAATTTAACCTTGTATTCTTTACCAGTTTTCTGGTTTTCGGCTGTGGCTAAAATTTCTATGTTACCAAAATTTAAAGCGAGCGAAATGATTTGATCATCAAAATCATCTAATCTGGGTATTTCAATTTCCCAATCATTATCAAGCAATTTTACATCATCTTCATCACAATATTTGGCATCAAGTTTTGAAGTATGATACATATTAAATGAAACTTTTGTTTGAAAAAGAGAATAAGGTTTAAATACTGTTTTCACTTCATCTGTACTTGTAAGATGTGATCCTTTCTTGGCTAAAGGATGGAATACTTTTATCATACCATTTGGTAATTTTCTGGATATCGGATCGTCTGCTTCCCATTTACGGCCAATCTCAGTTCCTGGAAAAAAGATTTATAGTTTTTTTTTTTAAAAAAAAAAATTTGTTGATTTTTTTAAAGGTATAATATAATAAATACCATATGTCCATTTTAAAACACGATTTGTAATTACGTGTTCCTTCATTCCATATTGAACGGCTAGTGAAATAATTTTAAAAATCATTCGATATTGTAAAAAGGATTATATTAAAATATAAAGAAAAAAAATAATTACCCCCTTTAATTACTGCCGTAATTGGATTAGACGGAAATGAAATATTTTGCACAAAGTCTAGGAATTCGTCTTTAATCCTACTTTGTAAATATTTCGATTCGCTGAACCCACCAACCATAATAATTGCTGAGCATTTATCATTATTTGCATGTAATTGACCTTTAATTAAATCGACAATTTTTGTAATAATAGGATCAAACATGGTACGAACATCATCAAATGTAAGTTCTAATTCTTCTATTTCCATAAAGACATCATCTTTACAATATTGTTTCAATTCTGGACAATAATCTAAACAATAAAATTCAAAAATAATTAATTAATTAAAATAATTAAAATAGAAAATCATGTATGTATTTATCAAGAATATTAACCTCCAAGATCTATTTCGGTAAATTCAAAATCTTTTTCACATCCTGTGAAAGGTATTTTAACATTTTTGCAAAATTCTTGGATTAAACACTGCAATTGACGATAATAATTCTTCTTTAAAAGATCAATTGCAGACTTTCCAACTTTTTTCTCAAGGAATTTAATGAATTCTTGATCAACATAGCTAGAACCACAAAAATCTCCAGTACGTTCGGTTACTTCACCAAGTGCGTTGTCAAATAAAAGTTGTCGCGTCGTTAAATCTACTGTACCGCCACCACAATCAACTGTCATAAACGAATCTATAATAACAGAGAAATAATCGGTTAAAGCTGGTCGAATATTAAAAATAAAGATCGACTCAAATAAAGCCTACCTCCCGACGTTATTCCATTGTCGCTTAGAAACTTCATACAATGAATCGCAGCAGCTTCGGCTAACATATTAACAGATTACGCAAAACCTTTTAAGTTTCAAATCACGTGAAATCATATATATACATAAATATTTTGGTGAAATTCCTTACGTTCCGTAATAAACTTTAAATTCCTACTGTTCTTTTCATTCGTTAATCCAGCTTTAAAAGCGCAATCTCTCATGATTGATAATGCCTTATTATCGAATTCTGCAGGCACCTAAAGATCATAAAAATTATCTATATCGATTTAGAAATTTTAATCACGAGACGGAAGTCTTTAAGATAACTAAGATAACATTCTTACATACCGTCAAGATGATAATGACTTGATTAAAAAACTCCAGGAACTTATAGCTATTCAGCTTTTCTTTCAACAATTTACAAATTTCATGTAGATAATCTATAATGGCTTTTTTATAATCCAACCCTTCGGGCAAAAATGGTTTTTCTTCGATATTTCTTCCTAAATGCAATTTAAATAGTTCTACTGAAGACGACTTCGATTTTCGAATTGTTCGATCTGATAACGCCGGAAATCCCCATGAGGTTACTTTAAAACTCTCATCGTATATAAGTACGGTGGGCGTTTTGAAACTTCCTTCAAAATCTTGACAAAATATTTCATCGGGACTTTTCCTATGTGCGTACGCAAATCCCTATTTATAAGCGCAAGGTATTAAGGACATTTGTTTATCCATCGAATGATGCTTTCTTTAACAATTTACTTACCGAGTACGTAGTTCCGAAATCTAAACACATACATTTAAAGATAAATTTGGGGTTTTTAAATATTTTTTCGTTAAATTAATTAAAAAATAAAAAAAAATCTTATATACCAATAGCAGCTACTACACGAATATCATTTGTCGAAGCCATTTCTGAGAGAGCATGAAGTAAATAAGTCTACATTAAATATATATTCTCTAAATGCATATTCTTATGTACATTACGTATAGAATTTCCAAATTTAATTTTATTATTATTGTCTGAGAAAATTTAGAATCCATTTATAATTTCTTTTTTTTTTAATTGTCTTTTTTCTAAATTAGTATGATACACAGAATACTTCCTTATCGAATTTAGTGATAATATCGAAAAAAAATTTCCCAGAAAAATTTCCGAGAAATTAAAAACTGACGATCATTTTCGGTTTTAAAGAAATTTTATTTTTTTGAAAATTCTCTATAAAATCATCATAACTCCCCCGAAAATAACAAAATAAAAAAAAATTATCTTTCAGAAATAAATTAAATCATTGCATCTAAATTTTATTGCAGATTGCAGATTTCATTTTGTAATTTTGTAATTTTGTAAGCAATGGGACTTCGAGATATTAACAGCGATATAAATAAGAAATTCTCCGAACGTTCATGGAAAAGTAAGTAATATATAATAAATAAATACATGCAAATTATTCTAATGTAACTTACGGTACTAAATTTTTTTTTTTTAAGCATTGAAAAAAGATTTCGAAAATCTTGACACGGAGAAGAATTCTTCAGATAATAATGTTCGTGTCGTAGTTGGATTAGACTTTGGAACCACCTATTCTGGATTCGCGTATTGTCACGTTTCAGAAAAAAATATTCCATGTTCACACGATTTATGGCATGGAGAACGAGGTCAATTAAAAACCAACACAGTTCTTCAATATGACGATGAATATAATAAAGTTAAGTTATGGGGTGCTCCAGCTTTAATTAAAAAGTCAAATCGTCGAGATACAAATAGGACAAATAGGAAAGAAAATAAACCCGTCGAATTGTTTAAGTTGCATTTGGGAGATATAATGAATAAGTTTAAACCGATACTTCCAGTTGAATATAAAAAAGCGATCATTGATTATTTAAGAGAAATCGGAAAAGTACGTTTAGAAATCGTTTGTTTATAATTATTATTATGCATTTTGAATTATTTACTTATACATGTATGTATGAAATTTTTTTAAGGTGATTAAAGAGACGGTTGCAACACGATGGTCAAGTTTTGATTACTTCGAACATGTTCTTCTGATTCTTTGCGTTCCTGCGGAATTTTCCGAAAAATCTAAAGCAATTATGAGAATATGCGCTTATAGTGCAGGTCTGATCAAAGAAGAATGTTCGGTAAAATTGCAATTCACTACGGAACGTGAGTACTTTAACACTTTTATAACTTTAAATATCTGATTTACGTATTTATATTTTTTCTTTATTTAAGCCGAAGCTGCAGCTGTATTCTGCATGAAAGATAGTCTTAAACAACATGCTCTTGACCAACCAGGAAGTATGTTTTGAAATCAAATTTATTAATTTTTGGTTTAAGAAATGCCAATATATTTTGATTAATTACATCTAATTAATTTTACAACTTTTACATAGCTAATTTCATGATAGTCGATTGTGGTGGTGGCACAGTAGATTTAACGGTTCGTAAACTAATTAATGATGAACAATTGGGCGAAATAACTGAAAGAGCAGGTGACTTTTGTGGAAGTGCTTTTATCGATGCCGAATTTATTACATATTTACGGGAAAAGCTCGGAGACAAACCTATTGATTCACTTATAGAGAATCATTATAGACAAATGCAATATATGATTCAACAATTTTGTAAATCTGGCAAAATTCCTTTTATGGGAGATGATCCAAGTTTTCTGTACGAGTTGGATATTCGGGATACTATCCCTGAACTAAAACAATATATCACTGATGAGAATGTCAAAAAAGCTTTAGATAAATCCGACTGGATAGTTGAAATTGATTTTGAAACCATGAAATTGATATTTGAACCTGTCATCCAAAAAATTCTTCTTATGATAAAAGCTCAACTTGATAACGCACAAGAAACTTGCTCTGCAATGTTCTTAGTTGGAGGCTTTAGTGAATCCAAATATCTACAAAAAAGAATTAAAGAAGAATTTCTTCATCGAGTAAAGAATATTTCTGTTCCTATTCAACCTATGGCAGCAATTGCACGTGGAGCCGCAATTTATGGATTATCTATAAGATCCAATAACCTGAATAATATAGGAAATGATGATAATTTGAAATGTATTATTGTTTCAAGAGTCCTTAAATATACTTATGGAATTAAAACAACTACTAAATGGGTAAGTATTTTTTTGTTTTCATGTTTTCATGAGAAACACTTTTATTTTCTTTGTAACATTCCTTTTTATCTAGGAAAAAGGAGATCCTATAAATAGGAAAACACTAGATGGATTTATTGAAACTTTTCAATGCTTGGCCAGGCGTGGTACTATAATGGATATTAATCAAGAAATTACATGTACTCGACTACCTATTAATCCTGATCAAGAAACCATGGTTCACCATTTATATTGTACTCGAGAATATGAAGCAGAATATTGTGATGATCCTGGTATGAACCTTTTAGGAAAACTTCATATCGAACTCCCTGGTTCAGGTCTTGACAGACCTGTGTTATTTGGGTTAACGTTTGGACAAATGGAAATTACCGCTACTTCAAAGAACAAATTGACTGGACAATGTTATAAAGCTACTTTTAAACTTAACCTAGACGATAAAATAAATAAATAATTATACAGTATATCCAAAATTTTGAATATCTAATAAATTTAATAAATTAAATAAATTTATAAATTATAATACGGGATACGAATGAATTTTCGATTTAAACATCAATGTACGTCACGTGACATCATGTTAATTATCAGTGAACAAAATCCAGATTTATCAGTTACTAATTTTTGTTTCAAGTTACATCCTTTATACCGCAAAGCGCCCATTTTATAATTTAGTAAATAAATATTTCTTTTATTTTAATTAATATTCTTACAATATGATGATTACATACAAACAAACTACCATCTTTTAAACATTGCAGACGTTGTTGCTATCTTCGTTTTGATTATTAATACCTCCCTTTATGATCGTCATCATCTTTACCATTTCGATGATTACTTCCATGTTTACCGTATTTATTGTTACCTACATTTTGATTGCTGCCTCCATCTCTACTATTTCGATTGTTACCTCCATTTTTGCCATTTCCATTTTGATTGTTATCTCCATCTTTAACACTTCGATTGTTTCTTCCATCTTTACCATTTTGATTATTATCTCCATCTTTACCATTTTGATCGTTACTTCCATCTTTACCAAATCGATTGTTACTTCCGTCATTGCTATTTTGGTTATTGCCTCCACCTTTATCATTTCGATTGTTATCTACACCTCCATCTCTCCCATTTAGATTGCTACTTCCATCTTTGCTATTATTATTATTTCCATCTTTACCACTATGGTTATTACATTCGTCTTTACCATTTCGATTGTTACCTCCATTTCTACCATTTCTATTGTTATCTCCATCTTTGCCATTTCGATGGTTACCTTCATCTTTAACATTTAGATTGTTATCCCCATATTTACCATTTTGATTGTTACTTCCATCTTTACCAATTCGATTGTTACTTCCATATTTACTATTTTGGTTGTTACCGCCATCTTTCCTAACTATATCATTTCGATTATTATCTCCATCTCTACCATCTCTATCATTTAGATTGCTACTTCCATTTTTGCTACTTGGATTATTTTTTCTATCTTTACCATTTTTGTTATTTCCTCCGTCTTTACCATTTCGATTGTTACCTCCATCTCTACCATTTCTATTGTTATCTCCATCTTTGTCATTTCGATTGTTACCTTCTTCATCTTTAACATTTTGATTGTTATCTCCATCTCTATCTTTTGGGTTGTTACTTCCATTTTTACCATTTCGATAGCTATTTTCATCTTTATTATTTCGATTATTGCCTCCATCTCTACCATTTTTATTGATGATTAAATCTTTACTATTTTGATTGTTATCTCCATCTATACCGTTTTGGTTGTTTCCTCCATCTTTACCATATCGTATTTTGCCACCATCTTTAACATTACGATAATAATTTTTATCACCTTCACCATTTCCTCCTTCATAATTTTGATTTCTATCTAAAACTTTAGCATTTTCAACATCATCATTTTGATTAATATTACCATTTTCAAATTCATAATTTTGATTATTTTTATTTCTTCCATTTTGATCATTAGTTCTTTTTTGATTAGAGGTTGCTGATTTAGAAGTAGAAATTTTATTATTACTGTCTTCACTCATATTCTTAGAGGGAATCAAGTAATTTTTAATAGAATTGAAAGTAGTAGTCATTATGCCTTTATTGGTGGTGTCATGTGATCTTTTAAATTGATGAACAACGTTTGCATGTGTATAGAGTATTTGATTGCTATTACCAAAATTGGAAACTATAAGAGGAAAAGAACAAATTTCTACAAATAAATCTTCTTCAGTATCTTCACCTTCATCTTCATTACCCCATCTCCCTTTCATTATTTTCGGATCTATTTTTACATTATATGGAAACCAAGTAAGTATTGGAATTGGCTCTTGCACCTTCAAGCGGAAAAAAATTATTCTAATGAATTCTCGCACTAAATTGGTTGCCATATCATCGAGTAATGTTTTCTTTTGTGGACTTTTAATCTTTCGAATTTTGTTAATTGATTCGTTTAACTGGTTTTTCATAGAATGTATAATGACATTAACTTGTTTATTTGTGTCTGCAAATCCAAGATTGCCGAGAAATCCAAATATTTGTTGACGTATTTTAATAGGTAAAGCTTTTGTTATATCGTTGGTTCCATCACGTGATGTTGCACATTCATTTAATAAATTAAAAATTTTCTTGGAATGATGATAAATTTTTGCTTCCAAACATTCATTTCTTAAATGAGATTCTGCATTTTTTTTGAGTTCATAAAATACATGACGCTGTAAAACAGCTTTTACAAGTGGTAATTCGTTTTCTTGGATAGATTTTACTTCTGTTTTACACCCATAGGAGTATAATAGCTTATTTACTTCGCCAAAATCTATGTCAACCTGTCTCAAAGTTCCCACATATTTTTCAATCATACTTTGTAATTTCGTAATATCTTTGACAAGTTGGACGGAGTGATTTTCATCATTATCACTTAAAGAAAAGGTTGTTGCTTTGCTAATATAATTTTGCCATTCTCCATTTTCATCATCTAAAGTTTTGTTCTTTTGTTTAAGATCCTTAATTTCAACATTTAAAATTTCGGTCTTTTCTATAATTTCCTTAATTACATCATCTAATGACAATATTTCTACTTTATGATCATTTATTTCATTATCTTTCTCATTGAGCATATTTTTTAAGATTTGTATTTCATCATTTTTTTGCATATTATCACGCTTTAAGATTTGTATTTCATCATTTCTTTGCATATTATCACGCTTTAAGGTTTGTATTTCATCATTTTTTTGCATATTATCACGTTTTAAGATTTGTATTTCTTCATTTTTTTGCTTATTATCACGGTCATAAGATTCAAGTTTTCTTTCAGACGTTGAAAAAATATCTTTATAAGGTTTTAGTTCGTAAATAAATTCGTTCTTTTCTTGAATCTCCAGTATTAACTTACTGATTTGATTATTCAAGACATCAATTTGTTTATATTGCTCCTTAAGATGATTTTTAATTTGCTCGTTTTCCGTTGAAATTTGTTTATTTTCCTCAACTAACATTTGTTTTTCTTCATTTGATTCGCTGTCAAATGTTATGAAATCAAGATTAGGTATATCAAGATTAGGATGATTAGGCAAACGTGGTTGTTGCGAGTTGAAGAATAACGTGCGGTTATTATTACATGTTTGTAATTTTTCGATTATATCGATATCCATAGGATCATAATTTTCTAGGGGTATATATGTCATGTTTGTTTATTATTAGCAAGGAAGGAAAAAAAATTTTAATTTTGTTTGTTGAAATTTTTATGTATTTATCAATAATTCGAGAAGGAATATTACACATGTTTAACATTGAACCATGATAACCTCTTTAAGAAATGCATCCTTCCTAAAATGTTTTCACTATGATAAATAAAACCATGACGGCTTAAATACCGGTTAATATTTGATTATTCATTTTCCTAATTTGTTTCATTTATTCCCAATTATCACATTTATTTTTAAAAATAAAAAGATATTCTATCACAGGTGGGAAGATTTTAAATGAAAGAAACAATGGTATATTCAAATTCATTTGTCAATGAAATATCCATAATTCATTGTAAATTTATTTTAATTGAAATTTTTATAATCCTTTGCATTATCTCGCATAACTGCTACTCTCGAAGTTGTTTTTCATTGTTGTGTTTATCATATTGCATATCTTTTTTGAATAATTAAAAAAATTTTCAATATGTCCAATTCGAGATTTTCGGAGTATATTACTTGTAATAGCCCCGAATTACACTTATTTTAGTAATCTTCTCATGAGAAAGAATACGGAACCTTGAATAATGATATCGATATACATGTTTACATGCGCGTTATCTATATAAAACGATCAAATACCATTTTCTAAAAGAGATAAAAAACAAAAAATTTAAAAGATGAAAAAAATTAATGAATTAAATACTAGAGAAATAAATAAAAAATTTTCTGAACGTTCTTCATGGAGCAATTTAAGGAAAGGTATGATTATCAAAAAAAAAAAAAAAAAAAAAAAATTAATTAAAGGTAAATTTGTTTTCATATATTTTTAAAGATTTGAAAGAAGATTCCTCTAAACCCGAGAGCTCCGCCGAGGTTGAGGAGGATAGTATCCGCGTCGTGATCGGATTCGACTTTGGTACGACGTACTCTGGATTCGCGTATTGTCATGTTACAGAAAAGCAAAATCTACGTTCAAACGATTTATGGCATGGAGAACGAGGTCAATTAAAAACCAACACAGTTCTTCAATATGATGACAAATATAATCAAGTAAAATTATGGGGTGCTCCAGCTTTAGCTAAAAAGCCAAATCGTCGAGATACGACCCAGAATGAAAATAAACCCGTCGAATTATTTAAGTTGCATTTAGGAGATATGTTAGATAATTTTAAACCGAACCTTCCAGTTGATTACAAGAAGGCGATTACCGATTATTTTAGAGAAATCGGAAAGGTTAGCATCAGAAATAATTTCACATTAAATATTATATTATTATGTATTTGAATTATTCACGTATACATGTGGACAAATTTTTTTAAGATAATTAAAGACACGGTTACCGCACAATGGTCAAAAATCGATTACTTCAAACACGTTCTTTTGGTTATTACCGTTCCTGCAGAATTTTCCGAAAAGTCAAAAGCAATTATGAGAATTTGCGCGCATAATGCAGATTTGATCAAAGAAGAATGTTCAGCGAACCTGCAATTCACAACGGAACGTAAGTACCACAGAACAATAAATAATTTTCATTTAAATTTTTAATTAATTTCATTTTTTTTCCTTTATTGAAGCTGAAGCTGCGGCTGTATTTTGTATGGAAAATAGTCTGAGTGAACATGGTCTTGCACAACCAGGAAGTATGTTTTAAAATAAAATTCATTTTTATCTTTGATTAATAATATATATATATATTGACTCATGGTTCCTGTTTATTACATATAAGTTAATTTCATGATCGTCGACTGTGGTGGTGGCACAGTAGATTTGACGACGCGTAAATTAATAAATGATAAACAATTGGGAGAGGTAACCGAAAGAGCCGGTGATTTTTGCGGAAGCACTTTCGTTGATGATGAATTTCTTAAATACTTGCGAAGAAAAGTTGGAGACAAACCTATGGATTCACTCAAAGAGAAAAATTATGGACGAATGCAATATCTGGTTCAACAATTTTGCAATTCTGGCAAAATTCCTTTTATGGGAGATGATCCAAGTTTTCTGTACGAGTTGGATATTCGGGATACTATCCCTGAACT